CAACAATGTCTTATAGTTTTTAGTGTACACACCTTTCATCTCCTTGGTCAAATTTATTCCTGGGTGTTTTATTCTTTTGTTGCAATTGTAAATGGGATTGTATTCTTGATTTCTCTTTCTGCTATTTCGTTGTTAGTGTATAGAAATACAACTGACTTTTGTATGTTGATTTATTGCCCTGCAAGTTTACTTTATTCGTTCATTGTTTCTAGAAGTTTTTTTGTGGATTCTTTAGGGTTTTCTATATATAAAATCATGTCACCTGAAAATAGTGACAGTTTCACTTCTTCCTTTCCAATTTGGATGCCTTCTTTTCTTTTTCTTGCCTAAATGCTCTGGCTAGGACTTCCAATACTGTGTTAAATAAGAGTGTTGAAAGTGGGCATCCTTGTCTGGTTCCTGTTCTTAGAGGAATAGCTTTCTGTTATTTTACCATTAAATATGATGTTAGCTTTGGGTTTGTCATATATGGCTTTTATTGTGTTGAGGTACTTTCCTTCTATATCCATTTTATTCAGAGTTTTTATCATAAATGGATGCTGTATCTTGTCAAATGCTTTCTCTGAGTCTATTAAGATGATCATGTGATTTTTATTCTTCATTTTGTTAATGTGGTGTATCACACTGATTAATTTGTGGATGTTGAACCATCCTGCATCCATGAAATAAATCCCACTTGATGATGGTATATGATCCTTTTAATGTGTTGTTGTATTCGATTTGCTAATATTTTATTGAGGATTTTTGCATCTATGTTCATCAGCGATATTGGGCCTGCAATTTTTTTGTGTGTGTTGCCCTTGTCTGATTTTGGTATCAGGGTAATGTTGGCCTCAAAGAATGAGTTAGGAAGCATCCCTTCCTCTTCAATTTTTGGAAGAGTTTGAGAAGGATAAGTATTAAATCTTCTTTGAATGTTTGGTAGAAATCACCAGAGAAGCTGTCTGGTCCTGGACTTTTGTTTTTTGAGAGGTTTTTGATTACTATTTTGATCTCCTTACTAGTGATCGGTCTATTCAGATTCTCTATTTCTTCTTGATTCAGTTTTGGAATGTTATATAATTCTAAGAATTTATCCATTTCTTCTAGATTACCCAATTTGTTGGCGTATAGCTTTTCATAGTATTCTCTTATAATCCTTTGTATTTCTGTGATACCCATTGTAATTTCTCCTCTTTCATTTCTGATTTTATTTATTTGAGGCTTCTCTCTTTTTTTCTTAGTGGGTCTAGCTGAAGGTTTGTTAATTTTATGTTTTCAAAGAACTAGCCCTTAGGTTCATTGATCTTTTCTATTGCCTTTTTAGTCTCTATTTCATTTATTTCCATTCTAACTTTTATTATTTCCTTCCTTCTATTGGCAGTATGTTAAGGGTTCTCATTAGGTAGAATGTTGGGATTAATTTATCATTTTCTTTATTTATATCCTATCTACTTTCTTTCAAAGAAGATTTGAGGTGGCAATTCAAGGTAGTAGTTTTTTCTCTAAGGCACAAGTTCCTTAGATGCTATTAAAAAACATTTTGTTATCTTTATCTTTTAAACAACCTTAAACTTTTGGTATTTCAGAGACTATAAAATTTTTAAATAGGATTAGAAGAGGAGAAATGTTTCAATAATGCTATTTTAACTTGAAGCTCTAAAATTAATGGCTTTTAAACATTAATGACTTTCCAGTATATAATATTCTAATTGAATTGAAATATCTCCAATGCTATGCATTTCAGCATAAGGAGACTTTTATGGGAGACACGCCAAACTCTATGGTATTTATAGATTAAATCAAGTATCTTGAATTTCCCAGGGAAGCAAGACATAAACTCTTGAGGAATAAGCTGCTGTATTAATGAAGAAATAGGCAGTGAAGAAAATCAGGGAATGGTTTTCCTCTAGCTAGAGTAACTAGATGTTCTTTAATAGCTCCATGTAGAAAACTTGGTCTATCATAAAAGAGAAGATTTTGTGAAAGTTCTAATTTTCTGTCAGATCATTTCTTTTAGATTGGAGAAGGACCATCACTAGCTATTAGAAATCCCTCAGTGTATACTTGATGATAAATAAGCCAGTGACATTTTGTTTTAAGTAAATATTTTTTTGTTGTAAAATCATGGGTCTTGAGTAAATGTCATGCTTGAATTTCACACATTTCACGTTTCTTTAACAGAGACTCCAGTCCATACAACACTGAAAACTCTCGTTTCTTCAGAGAGTCTGTTTAAGCTCAGGAGAAGTATAAACATAACTGTGATCCATAAATCTAACCAATATTTGCCTATGGCATCTAGAACTTTTAAAATTTTGTCTTTTTTTTTTCCATATTAGGCCCTAAGGTAGTTTCATACAAATGTATAGCAACAAAGATATGGCAAACCTGAATGATTTATTCAGTATTTGTGTTTTTGTATATTAAAATCGTGTAAATTAAAGCATGTTTATTTTGTATTTATGGTTGACAAATGAACTTTACTTCAATACATCTATTTTCTAGGTTTGGAATTTTATGGTAAGCAACCCCCCTAGCCCTGGTAATTTAAAAGCTTTTGTTACTTAGATTTTTAAGTGATTCTGTATTAAGTGCTGAGTGCTTCTTAAGGAACTCAGCATATTTGCATGTGAGTAATCTGATTTAAGATTATAAAGAAATATATCTAAACCAGAGGGTCCCTTATTGATCACAAACATTTGTATTAACATTTCATTTTAAAAGCTCCACTAATAATAGCCTAAATAATACTTTGGTTCATTAATAATGCTGAACTTTCTTTAAAGTAAACGTGTTTGGTGGGAGAGAAGCCAGTACACTAACTTTTAAAAATTTATTATACAGGATTAGCTGAACCATCCTCTGTTGCAAAACATGAAGATAGTTTGTTTAAGGATCTATTTCAAGACTACGAAAGATGGGTTCGTCCTGTGGAATACCTGAATGACAAAATAAAAATAAAGTTTGGCCTTGCAATATCTCAATTAGTGGATGTGGTAGGTGTGCATATCATTACATATTCAGTTTCACACAGAGTTATTAGAGCATATTGTATGCCCAGGCATTGTATTAGGCACCAAAGATTATAAAGGTGAATGAGACACAGTCCTTTTCCTCAAGGAACTCAGCAGGGAAAAATAATCATTACAGCACAGACATAGGAATACACTGTGTTTATGTAATATTGTATAGCTTAGAAATCATTTTATCTCATTTGGTAATAATAATAGGTAATAATAGGTCTATTTTTTAATAAATTCAAAGATATGAAACATTTTATATGGAAATTTCTCCTTAAATGTGTTTAAAAAATACCATCAAAAAGTCAAAAATTTTAAGAGTAAAAGTCCAAGAGTAGAGTTGTAGATTCTTAGGACCAAAAAGTCTCTCAACAGATCATTGACTCAGTATCACACTTTAAACATTTCAGAGGTTTTTTCATGTAACATTCACTGGGGACTATAAATTCCCTTGATAACTTGTTCTTATTGTCAAGAGATTCTTTCTATTTAAACTAAAAAGTTCACACTGCTTTTTAAACTAGTTTCTTCTTGCTCTCATCACGTCAATCAACAATTATTTCCCTGCTGTGTTCCCAGAATAGTCAACATGTGTGTGTGTGTATATTTTTAAATAACATTATAGGTGGGCCTTTATTTTCTGATTAGAGAAGCAATGCATGCTTTTTGTAGAGAGTTTGGAAAGTTCAAAAAAATACAAATAAGAAAAGAAAATAAAAATTGACTGTAATTCTACTACCTAGAGATGACCAGTGGTAACATTTTGTTGTATTTCTTGCTAGTTTTTTCTTTGTGAGAATGTTACAAAATTGGAATATTATTTTAGATATAATTTTGATTACTGCTTTTTTCCCTGTTGTTACATGATGAACATGTTCTTATGTTCTTATACAATCTTCAATGTATATTTTATGTACATATATTTACGTACACTTTAATGGCTATGTGATATTCCATTTATAATTTAAACATTCTCCTATTGTTGGCAGAAGCTTGTTCCAATTTTTCTTATTATAAATGACGATGATGAATATATTTGTACACCAATGTCTGAATTTCTCCTTTCCTTAAGAAAGGCAGTTAGTGAATCAGAGGATATGCATTTTATAAATCTGTTGTTATGTGTCACCTAATTGCTTCCAGAAAGATCAGTGAATATGGACTGTGTGCTTGACCCTTTGCTAGGCAATATGGGGAGATTTTAAATATAAATAAAAATAGAGAAGTAGGAAGTCAGAGAGGTAGGACTTGTTCTCAAAGACTTTTCTTTCTAATTGGGACTATTATCTTGTAAATGGAGTAACTGTAGAACACTGCAAATCGTGATGCCAAAAGGTCTGGAAATTCAGATCTCGATGACTGAAATAAGCAGAGAAAGCAGGAGAGAGGAGGTGGCACTTGAGCTGGCCTTGTAGTAAGTGTAGGATTTGACATGCAGAGAGGAGAGTACTTTAATAACCAGGAACAGTATACTCATAGGTATAGGAGTAATACTGAGCCTTGTTGTTCAGCTGTTTAGATCAACAGGTTGATGTTGGGAGCCCCACTACGTAGGGATGGTCTGACTGGATGGTGAGGAGGCGGAGTGATCCCTGCATGCCACTGTGCCTCTGCTCCTGCCATTTCTTCTGTTTGGAAAATTTTCCTTCTCAGCACAGCCATTTATCCTTCAAGGCCAAATCCATTTGTCAGACCCTTTGTGAAATCCAGAGTTCGTAAGCCAGTCTCTCCTCTGTTCCAGCAGCCCTTTGCACTTTAATATAGTGCCCGTTACGCTGACTGGCACTCATGTGCTGGCATGGCATCATCAAAGAAGGTGAGCTTTATTCCTTGTGTCTGTCCTGGAGCCTAGCTTGGTGTCTGGCACATAGTAAATGCTGAATGAATGAGAGATCTGATAGGCAACAGACACGGTAAAAGCAGTACTTTAGGATGATCAGTGAAACAGTTAAATACATGGTTTTGAGGAATGAAAGAGAGATTAGAAACTTGAGAGGCAAGTTAGAAGACCACGTAGAAGAAGGAACAGGACTTGACCACTGAATATAGAGGGAGGCGTCTAATTTTGAAGCCTAGGTGCTTAGAAGAGTAACAAATTTGAAAGATAAAATTAGTTGTTATGGGGATAGGGCTGAGAAGATGAGTTTGATTTTGATATGGGTGGTTGTGGTACATTGAAAAGAAAATGTTCATGAGGCCCTTGGAAAGTCTCGCACTGGCTCTGCAGTGAGAGATGAGGCTGAGGACGTCCGTTTGGAACTGCTGGCCTGGGGGTGATTGTTGAAACTTTGGATTGATGAGTTTTTAAAGCAAGCAGGGAGAGCAGGAGCCTGATCCTTGACGAGCATTCATAGAAAGTGGTAGAGGCAAGGGTTAGCCAAGCAGAGAAGTTGAAGAAGGGTTGCTTCTTGAGAGAAGAGCCCAGAAAATGTATTGTCAGTGACTGAGAGGGGAAGAGGACTGGAGTCAAGGAAGATGAGGGCCAAGGTCCCTGGAGAGTGAGCATAGAAGGTTCGCTGAATTGCTTCTAAGCTGATTTATGTTCCCTTTAATTGCTAAGGTCTTTCCGCCTCAACCTTGTACTCGTGTTTGGTGACTTTTCCTTGAAGTTTTGTCAGATTCTTACCTTACTTCTTATGTGTTCTCGCTCTTTTTAAAATCTCAGTGTTGGCTTGTTTGTTTTGATTTTATTTTTATGGTCAGGTTAAAAAAAAACTATTACCCCTAAAACTTTTCTGCTATACCCGCGTGTAGTTAACATTTCTCCATTTATCTGTGATTTCCTCCTGGGTGTCATCCTACGTTTGTCCTTACTCGATTTGGTTGTTGTTGCATCCTCCATTGTGCTGAGCACATTATAGATGCTCGGGAGATTCTTGAGGCTACCTTAAATTGGGCTGTATCCCTAAGGTAATGGCTAACCCCCACATATTTGGGGCCAGTTGTGAACTTACGGGTTATTCTTTTATCTATGTTACTATTGACAGTACTAAGTATTGACTGGGTCCTAGCCTATAGAGCAAAATCTGTGTGTGTTCACATTTTTCTGGGGAAAGGGTCCAAATTTTCATTAGCTTCTCAAAGATGACCTACTGCCATACAGCATCATAGGTAATAGGTTTACCAAAACTTTCCTAATTGTTAATGCCTCTGTTTAGAACTTTTGCCTAAAAGGCATATTCCAATGCAGGGATCAGCAGTTATTCTGGATGGTGTGTGACTTTAGGGAGGACATGGAGCTGGTGGGGTAGGGTTTAAATTTAGGGGTTTTGAGTTCCAGAATCGGTTCTACCACTAATCAGTGGTGTGATTTTAGGCAAGTCGCCTCACTGGGCTAGTTTCCATATTTGCAAAAAGAAAGAATTGCAGTAGATAAAATCTCTAGGTCCTCTCCAGCCCTAGTGTTTTAATCAAGGAATATTGCTCTTTGGAACTGCGGCGGCGTAAGAGGGATGGCCACGCTCTATTTCCCAGGCCTCATTCTTCCCATGTAGGGACCTAACAGCTGCGTTTGTCCCTCGGGATGTTCCTTCTCTGGCCTCCTCCTTTCCCCTGAGTCATTCACCTGTTGTTGGAATGGATAGGGAATGGGGACTCTCCAGTCCCCTAAGCTGTGTACATCCCTGTCCTGTCTGTAACAGTAGGAATTGCCTCATACTTCTCTGGGTCTCTGTGCTGAGCACTGTATCTTACACACAGTCCATTTATGGTTGGTGATCATGATGATCTTATACTGGTTCAGTTGGCTCCATGATATTTCAGTAAAACTTGATGGAAGAGATGTCACTTTAATTAGGCCTTGAAAATTCGATGAAGGACTGGCATAAACAAAGCTATGACAGCAGGAGGGTATGGCATAAGTGGCAAGTACCAAGGACCCCTGGTTCTATAGAAAAGGATGTAAAAGCTGTATGAAATTGCCATTCAAGGCTGTGACCTCAATATTTTTTTCTACATAGCAGCTCCACAGAGATTCTAATTTGTGCTTCAGTAGAGGCAAATGATTACAAGTTATAGTCCCTCAGGAATGCACAGAAACACCATATCTCACTGATAATAAGATGCACATTTTCCATATTTTAGCACTTCTGAAATCAATATGTGTCTTGTAATTAATGGCAGCTTGTAATTCATTATCAGCCTTTTTCTTTCTTAGCGCTAAGGACATAAAATAATGCTGTGCTTATTTCTTAGAGCGCATCTTAGATTTAAGGAAATATAGTAGTTGAGACCATGAATGTTAAATCTAAAAATGCCAATAGTGAGGGCCGGCTCCGTGGCTTAGCGGTTAAGTGCGCGCGCTCGGATGCTGGCGGCCCGGGTTCGGATCC